AAGTAGAGCGCCTCGTCGACCTGGCTCTTCTTCCAGCCAGCGCCCAGCAGCACACCGTCGAGAGCCATGTACCACAGTAGCGGCGACTGCTTTGGCCCGTAGAGGCTCTTCGACAGCTTACATACCCAGCCGGTCCAATCGTCGAAGTAGTCCGGCTGGTACATGTAGAGCACCCTGTCGAGCTTGCTCTACAAGAAAACGTTCTTCATGTGGAGCTGCATTAGGTTGAGGTCGAGGACGGCGACAATGCTATGGAAGATCCTTAGCGTGACGTAGCAACTCACCAGCGAGTACGTCTCGTCGTAGTCGGCACCGTACATCTGCGTGAAGCCCTTCACAACGAGCCTCACCTTCTCGCGTTCGACGATGTCGTCGATGCGGTACTTGTCGTCAGCACCCACCGGTTCTTCATGATGTTCACCCCGCATGGGCGTTCGACCAGCTCCCAAGTCCCCATACCGATGAGGCTGCGGATCTCTTCTTCCATGGCGGCCTTTACCGCCTCGCCCTTCCAGCTTGACTGCGCCTCCTTCACCGTCATCGTGGCGATGTCCCAGCGGTGTTCAGGGTCAGCATGTACGTCAGGGTCGAGCTCCGGCAGGTCTTCATCCTCCTTGGCGTCGTCGTACAACAGGTCATCGTCGACCTCGTCGTACACCGAGGTGAAGGCAGCTGGCGGTAGGCAGGCGTGGAAGCTCAGCCGCTCCGGTGGCCGTCGAGCTCGACCTGTGCGTCGACCTGCTTTGGCCCTTCGGCCAGCTGCTGACTTTGACATCTCCTCTGTTGACCGCCCCGGCTTCTGCTCCCCTGTCGAGTGTACCCCTGCTGTTGCCTCCTGTTCGACCGGCTCCCCTGTCTGGTGCTCCCCTGTCGTCTACGGCTTCCCATCCTGGTCAACGAGCTTGGCGACAGGAGAGGGAGGAGCAAGAACAGGGGGAGGTGGAAGAACCTCCACAACATCCTCATCAGCAGGCTTGTCAACTTTGACGAGCAGAGGAACCGTTGCCGTCGAGGTGTCCGTCGGCGGGTGTGCCTGCGTCCGGCCCCGACCCTGGCCCATACTTCACCTTCCACACCTCCAGTGATAGCGTCTTGTAGAAGATCACCTCGACCGACGTGACCACCTTGTTGTCGGTCAGGTCGAGCACCTCCCAGCCCTTGCTCTCCTGCGACACACCCAGGTGAAGCCCCCAACGAGCCTTCGGCGCTAGCTTCCCACCGCGCTGCTGCTCGAGAACCATTGAACTGCACCATGCAGCCCCACACCCGCGCCAACGTAAGGTCGGGCTTCTTCCCGGTCAGCAACTGGTACGGAGTCGTCCCCGGCGGCGTCGTCGACCGCTCCAAGCAGTTGCACACCTAGACAGCATGTCGTAGGGCAAGGTGCCACGAGTGGTACTGCACGCCCATGTGCAGCAAGATCGTTCGCACGGACTCGACGACCGTACGCATCTCCCGCTCAGCCATGCCATTCTGCTGCAGAGTGAAGGGGCACGTCAGGTCCTAGACGATGCCCTTCCTGTCAACGAAGTCGGTGAACGCCTTTCCCGAGGATCTCCCCTCCTCGATCGGAGCGAAGTGACAGCACCGATTTCTTCGTCTGCCGCTCCACCAGCACCAGCCACTTCTGGAACTCCCGCAGCACGTCGCTCTTCTTAGCGACCAGTATCACCCACACGAAGCCGAGTGTGCCGATCCTTCAGCAGCAGGAAGTACAAGCTACCATCCTTGGCAGCCACCCGAAATGGCCCGCACAAATCAATGTGCACGACAGCCAGCGCCTCCTCGGCGTCCGAGCCCTTGGCGGGGAAGGTGTGCCGCGCTAGCTTACCTCCGAAGCACGAGACACACGGCGGGTCTGCTCCGGTCGACGACGTGATGTCGAGCACAGTAGCAACGTCATGCTTCGCTGAGCTCTTGATCGTGTCGACGCCGACGTGTGCGAGCCTCGCATGCAGCTGATCAAGGGTCGACTTCGACGCCGAGACGATCGTCCGCAAAGCCACCACCTCAGTCGACCGCGAGTGCGTCAAGCAGGGGCGAAGGTCTGTGCAGAGGACTCTTCCGGTGTAGCGTGCTCGACCGAGCACCTCCCCGGTCGCGGCGACGAGCAGCATCTCCTCGCCATCGCCCTACAGCAGCTACTCCGCTCTCCTTCAGCTGGCCAGTAGACAGCAGGTTCGCCTGTACGCCCGGAACGTAGAGTACGTCGGGGATGAGGACCCGCTTCCCGGCCTCCTCTTGCAGAACGACGGTTCCGCGACCCTCGACAGGTTGCAATGCCCCATTGAACCCACGCACGTGCTTCACCCCATCGCTCGGCGCCATGTCGACGAAAACCGCCTACGTTCCTATCAGGTGGTGGGAGCACCCGCTGTCAAGCAGCACCGCCATCAGGTTGGCTTGCACAGCTGCCACCACAGCCTGGAAGTCCTCGCCAGCCTCCGGCGCCAGCAAGACCGTCGGCTCCACCACGCCGACCATCGAGGACGATGCCTCCCCGTCACCTCGGCTCTTGCCGCTAGAGGTGTCGACGTCCTTGCTGGGCAAGGTCACGCGCCGCCTCTGCTCATCCACAAGCGTAAGAAAACGGGCTTCAAAGAAGCCGCCGAGGCGAACAAGGAGGTGCAATTGCAGGCGGGCCAGCCTAGACCGGCCAGGGTCGTACTCCGTGGTGCCAGACGGGAAGAGTTGCTCGAAACAGTCCTCCATACTGCTGTCCCAGTCCGCTGAAGGCCTCCACCACCTCTAGTTGCGGCGGCTCAGTCTGAGCAAGGTACATCGGCCGCGCTGAAACATCAATAGCCAGGAGGTGTTACGCCATCTGCGTGTGGTCAAGCAGGGGAAGCTACGGCAAGGGCACCTGCAGCTGCCGAAGCCGCCTTTTTTAATGTTAGGCTTCAAACATACAAAAGAAGCTACGTTAAGACACACTTGATAGTTCAGACATCCTTCACTATTTCACATTTCCTGTATTAGTGTTACGGGTGCAATGAATTGAGGTAGCGATGATTGCACTAGAGTGTTCAAAGAGTACAAAGTATGAGCGAAGGCATGAGCGAATACTTATAGGCGAAAACATGCAAACGGTAACGCGGTGCGTGCGAGCTAGCTAGTGCTACGCTGGCGCGAGGTTCGGGCTAGTCCCGAAGCGTAGGCCGACTCGGCTGCTCCAGCAGTGCGAGGTTTGGTGAAACAATGCACGCGAAGTTGGCGAAGCCCGTTAGCAGTAATGGGCGATCAACGGCTTCTGGTGTACGTGATCGACGGTCGTAGTAAGGAATAGCTAGAAAATTCCTTACAAGTAGTAAGCACTTGATGAGTTTGAACGATGAACACTGATTTCATCGATACGAGGGGGTTCTGTGCGTTAGCGCGCGACAGAAAATGCTACAGGCCAAATCAGCGGGCTTATTACTTTCTTGTTTGTGAAGCGGTGAAAAGCAGCCGATTGGAGGATTAGCAGCAAGTAGGCATCGTCCATGTCATTGCTGCCAGGCTCACGTGAATTGCTGCCCACATCAGTGTTTCATTTTGGCAGTGTGCCCCCTTCCCCCCCACATCACTGGGGATAATTTGGGTTATTCCACAATAGTTTGTTCCCTCAACTCAAGCCCATGGGATTGCAATGGTTCTGTGACTAGCCAATTGAACAGGCCTCCATCTCGCGAAATCTAAGTTTTGTTGGTACAAAACCGTTTGTGGGCCCACGACCACAACTCTGTTTTCCTTCAGATCAAAACAAACAAAAGAGTTGCCTACATCCGAGCTGAACCTTTCATGGCTAATAGCCCGGCCCGAGCCCTGATGCTTCGGACATGTTTCAGAAGCTATGGAAAAAAAAAAAGCGCTACAAGTGGCTGTATTTATGTGGTGCTGAGTGATGTGAAAACGGCTTTCCAATATTGTAGCAACAGAGTCTGCACGGCGGTGGGAAGGGCAGGTCACCGTGGTGTTGAGAGACCTGAAACTGACAGCGAAACCTTGGGGGTATTTTGTGTAAAATCCCAGAAACTCTGCAAGTGCAACTACACTTCCTTCTTTCCGCCTATGGCAGCGTCCAAAGGTTGACGCAGCCGCGTCACGGGAAGCGAATGGGGGGAGGCCACGCGCACACCACGACAGCGCGGGGTGGGTGGCCGACGAAAGGGGCGGTGAATCTGATGCACTCAATTCGCCCTGGGCTGGGACGAGACGATGCGCCGCGCGGCTCTGACTGGAATGGATCAATCACGTGATCAGATACATGCAATATTTGCATCCGTCCACTTTTAGGCATTCCGCTTCCTCTCGCCGCTTGCTTCTGCTGCACCTCAAGCTTCGTATCGTCACCTCCGCCCAGTCCGCACCCTTTTCTTGACGATCCCAATGCCTTACGACACTGCAGGCCGGGCCCGACCCCGAACAGAGCATGTTTCATGCAGCGGATCTGGCGATTGTTTTACTTCAGTGTTTATATCAAGTGCGAACACAGGCAGCACTAGGTAGACACTGCGGCTGCGAGTCGTTGGGCATACGGTACAGTGTTTCAACGAATTATGGCTGTCGCAGGTATTCAACGTAGTCTCGCCGTGAGCCCCCTCGCTCCTCCTGCCAGGCTTCTCTGTCGAAAGGGGTAGCTTCGCGTCGTCACGTTGTACAGCGTCTGGAATGCGAATTCGCTTCTCCTTCCGACTTCCGACTCCCATGTCTCCCGTTCTCGCTGGTTCCCCTTTCCGTCGATGGTCCCCGATTAGAAACAGCTCCTCTGATAAATCTGCGTCTTCAAAACGCCTCTCATGTCGTCTAGTCGCCAGAATCTCGCATCCAATCAGCACGCACCAACGGCAGACGATCCGCGCGCGCCACCACTTAGAATCGGATCTCAAGGTCAGTCAGAGTTTTCGAGATTCTTTCCCGCGCTCGTCGAAGGCCGAGTAGGCTCAGCCGCAACTGCGGCAGGCGAAGCGGCGATTTTTCCTGCCATGGCATCCGTTGCGGCACTAGGCGTGCAACGTCCCATGGTCACCCCGAGTTATTTGCGCGACTCGCGGAGCGACGAGGCAAGTCTGAATTCGGAAACTCTCGCGTTCCTCCTCGCGAATCCCGCAGCTGCGCTGGCGACATTGTCGCAGACGTCGCCTGCAGCGCAACTCCCGAGAAATCTGTCGCACGCTTTGCATTTTGACGCCGCGACTCCATCGGCAGGGCCGAGTCAGCAAGCGGTTCGGCATGCTTCGCGCGCCTCTGCGGAATCCTTTTCTCACGTAGCGACCCGCACATGGGTCCCGCAACACACCGCAATCAACGGCGGAGCTAGCGGCGCAAGGAGCGGCAGTTCGGATGGCCTCCTCCACTTCCAACAGCATCGTTGCAGCGGCGTCGGCGTTGAATCACAACTCGTGGCGACCCGTTGACGCCGCCGTTGACCAGCGCGCTGTTGACTGGGCGGGCTGCGACGTGCCTGCGTTGTCGCACCTGCTGCTGCTGGAGCAAATGCGGCAGACGCGGCAGATGGAACAGGCAGAGCAGCTAAGGAAGGCCGCGGCCGACGCCGCAAGACTCGGCGAAGCAACAGGCGGCAGCAGTGAGCACGCGGATTACAGCGGCGGCGGTGTGGGGGGTAGCGCCGGCGGCGGGAGTAACGCGGAGCGCACGTGGGAGATGAGCGGGAGCGGGAGCGGGGCGGGTGCTTCGGCGGACGCGGCTCTGCTTTCGCAGCTCCGTAGCGCGCACGACTCGCTCCCTCGCCCCTCATTCCAATCGCCCACCGCACCGCATGACAGGACCGCTGCGTCTGGCGACGACGCATGTTGGGAAGCGTCGGAGACTCCGGGTCGCGGGTTTAGGGAGCCTCGAAGGCTGCGTGCACCAGGCGGCGGGAGTTGCGGGCTGCAGTTGGCGGTCGCGGAGCAGCTGGACCAGCTGCAGCGCGAGGAGCGCCTCGATGAGTGCGAACGGCGCGACGCGCGAGATTGCGATCTGGGGACGCGGGGCGGTGCGACGGGAGAGCAGCGGGAAACCGGGCGATACGATCAGTTTGAGAGGGCGGCCAGAACGGACGACACGTGTCCTCCACACGCGAGGCCGTCGCCGCTGTTATCACTCGCACCCGACTTCCGCGAATTCCGCGCAGGTGGAAGGGGAGGTGGGGTGTTTGGCGACGATCGCAGTGCGGGCGCCCCTGCGGCCGACCATGGTCGCAGGGAGGAGGGAGCGAGTGATCTGTCCGATCGTGACAGTAACAGAAGTGCGTATCGCATCGACGGCTCTTTGTTTGGGAAATATACTCAGGCGCCCATAGCGTCGCAGCATCTCGTGGATGGTATCGGGATAAGCAATAGCGGGGATGCGAGCGGGAGCAGGGGGGAGCAGAATGTGTGGAGTCCGAGCATCAGTAGAAGCCGCAGCGGGAATGAGCGCGGGTTCGGAGGCAAGGGGGGGATGAGCATGAGCGGCGGGACCATGGCGCCTCCCCCTCGCCCTGCGTCTGCCGCCATTGGTAATCCCAATGCCACCGCTGCCGCCGCAGCCCCTGGGGGAGCCGCGGGCATTGGTGGTGCTGCTCTGGGCAGCGATGACGTGGCTCACGCAGGCGACAGCACGCACCGGGATCCGCTGGGGACTGCAGCCGCTGGGCAGGCGCCACGTGGCAGCAGATCGAAGAGCGTTGGTCAGATGCAGGCGGCTCGGATTCTGCAGGCGCTGGAGCACGGCGCGCGGGAGAGAGTGAAGCGGCGGCGCACGCAGCAGAAACATCTGGAGCACTTGCAGGTGCAGCAGCAGCAAGAGGAAGGGCAAGGGCAAGAGCAGCAGCAGGGTGGTCTTCATGGTTTTGCACTACTGACCTCGCCCCTCTCCGTCTCCTCCACTCCCCCTCTTGCACCCACTGCTGCCCCGTTACACACCACCGCGCACGCAGCACCTCATGCAGCGCAAATACCCCTGGTTCCTATTGGATGGGGTCACGCCCCCCCTGCACCTGTGGCGGAGGCGTGGGGAGGCGCGCAAGGTCGCAGCGAGGGCGAGGCGGAGAGGCGGCGGCGGGAGCAGGAGCGGGTGGCGTTTGATTGGAGCGAGAAGGGTCCGCGGAGCCACAGCGAGGCGGAGAAGCGGAGGCGCGAGCGCATCAACCAGCAGCTGGGCGTGCTGCGCGCGCTGCTGCCAGGCGCGAGCATGGGGAAGGCGGACAAGGCGAGCGTGCTGGCGGAAGCAGTGGCGCAGCTGCGGGCGCTGAGGGCAGGCTTGGGGGAAAGTTGTGGGGAGGAGGGAGAGGGGGAGGATGAGCGGGAGAAAGGGCAGCAGGGCTCGGGGAAGCAGGAGGGAGCAGAAGAGGAGGCAGGGGAGGGGCAGAGAGCAGAGGTAGTGGGAGAGGAGGGAGCAGAGAGAGCAGAACGAGCAGCAGGAGCAGCAGCAGGGTTTGTTGCTTCCAGCCTGCTGGCATGTGGCAAGGTTCCTGAAGCCACTCCGAGGGAGGACGATGCAGTGGAGGTACATCTGGTATGGGCGCATGTGGAGGAGGGGGAGAGGGGGGATGAGGTGGGAGAGGAGGTGAGGGAGGATACGGAGGAGCAGGGCGAGGTGGACCGGAAGGGAGGAGAGGGGCTGGCGGGGCGCAAGAGGAGGCGAGGGAGTGAGGGGGAGAGGGCGGTGTGTGTGTGCATTTGGAGCGAGGACGGGGATGGTCTGCTGCCTGCCATCCAGACGGCCCTCAAGGTAGGACTAACACCTTACATGATTTCATTTAGAGATTGTGCATGGAGTAGACTCCCTCAGAGTCCATGTGCTTCTCATGCCACGTCTGCCTGTAGCCCTGTTGGTCCCTCCTCCCATTTCTTCTCATCTAGCCTTGTCCCAACCACTCACTCTGACTGTCAATTTCCTCTCCCCTCCTTCCCTTGCCGCGCCCACAGCCCTTCCCTCTGCGCCTCGCCAGCCTCGAGTCTGCCTCCTGTGGTTCGCGTGTCGCTCACGTGCTGCTTCTGCACGCCAGCCCTGCTCCGGCTGCTGCTACCTGCTGACACCGGCCCTGCTGCATCCCTTGCATCCGCTCCTGTTGCTCCTGATTTCGAGCCTGGATTGGCTGCTCGCCCTCCTGGTGCTGCTCCTGCTGCTGCAATTGGTGCTCCAATTGGTGCTCCTGGCTCATCAGCAGCTGCAGCGACTGAACAGGAGCAGCAGCAAGAGGGAGTGCACAAGTGTGGGGAGGATGTTTCATGGACAAGAGCTGCGAGTGGGGAAGGTGGGGTAGCTCAGTATGTGCGTGAGGTGCGGGCAGCTGTGGTGGATGTGATGGCACGGTGGAGGCGAGGGGAAATGGTCCGTGGCGGTGTGCGAGGAGGAAGTGAAGGTTACCGTTTGGGCTTTCAAGAAAAATAATATACCCTTGGCAGGCCGGGGACGGGAAGCAGCTGCCTGGGAGGGAAGGGGCAGCAAAGAAGGTCAGTGAGAACGCAACCTGCTCGACCAGAAGATACAGGGAATGGTCCTGAGAAATTGGACACCCTTCAACATTCATTTATTTCATTTGTTTACTCGTTCACATGGCCACAGCATATTGTAGCTGTGGTATAGCACTAGGAAGGCACGTCTTCATTATTTTGTTTGCTTATTTGTTTAATTATTTCAATATTCGTTCCTGTTTTGCTGGGACGCATAGTATTTTAATTGCTTCACATTAATATTCACTGGTCAGCATTACAGCACTGGCAAGACAAATGGTCCACATCACTCAGATCAACTATGCCGAACATACTGGAGGAGCTGCAGCAGGAGCTTAGCGACCCAAAGCAGTAGAGTGTAGCTCAAGTGCTAAGAAACTTCTGCCACCAAAATGCTGATGCCTTCGGGTACCGGGGAAGGTCAGGGTTAGAGAAGTCAACAAAGACAATGCCAAATCTCTCCAAGAAGCCACGAGCCCATTCCCAGTTGTCCAGAAGGGACCACGCATAGTACCCCTGGACATTTGCTCCATCCCTGCAGTAATGACATGGGAAAGATCTTAGCATGACAGGCTCCATGAAGGAACATGAATATATGGGGAGTATAGCAGATTTCCTACTTCTTGGCCTTCAACACATTGCTGAGGTAGTCTCTGTAGAAGTTTAGACGCTGATTGTCACAGAGTGCAGTCTCCAGCGGAATGTCAGGGTCATTGACATCACTCGAGCCTGAAGCACAAGGACATTCTTAGTGAAAGATTCGATACAGGTACTCATATGACCCAAAAGACTCATCCAACCGATCCATACCGTTTTCAGTAATCATGATCGGAAAGCTATTGTAGCGCCCTGTGATCCACATCAACATTCCATACATGCCTTCTGGGACCACCTTCAGCCAAGATGAGCCTGTCTGAAAACACAAGGGATGATGTTAAAAAGAGTGTATTTTTCAAAACAACTTCTGATTGCAGCATGGGCTGAAGGAAGAGATGCAATGTCAGCTTACTGATGCACCAATCACTTGACCAGTCAGCGGGTTGGTGCTTGACGTTCCCACTTGGCTGTCACTCCAAGCGGTTCCAGGCGCGCTGGCAGACCCTTGCCAAACATACAGAGCAGTGTAGAAGTTGAGCCCAAAGAAGTCTGCAGAACCAATAAGCTGCTGCCTTTCCGCAGCTGAGAATTGAGGCAGACGGTCATCGACAAGAGTTCGCATGGACTCTGGGTAATCTCCAAAATAAACTGGGTCAGCGAACCTGAAGTCATGAAGTTCGTTAGCACAACCCTGCACAGACTGAGATGCTTGGATGGATGTAAGAAAGCCTACCATCCGTAGGAGAATTCAAGAGCTCGGTTAGCTGCTGCAACGTTCTCATTGGACTGATTGATGGGGAAGTAAAACTGGGAGTCTAGTGTGATGCCAATGCGGCCTTCCTGCAGCTTCTGCAACCATAACAGCAATGGGATGTTAGTTTCCAAGTCCATGTGTGTGCGAAAGTGAGCAGATTGAAATAGCAGTGAAGATGGCTGACCTGATAATTGGCTCTGTAAGAAGCAACAGCAGAAGCGTGTGACCTCAATATGTTATGAGCAACAAGGTAAGATTCCACTGCAGAATCCCCTTCTTCACAAATTTCTCTGTCTGAGCATCTTCCTGGAGCCATTCCTCCTGTCCCGTATCCCTATACAGGCAAATGAGTCACTTTGGATGTCGTAATGGCGAAGTCAGAAGAGAGTTCAAAAAGCTATCGTACCTGAATCGAGGTTTCCATTGGTTCGTTGAAAGTGATCCACGTCTTGACATCATCACCGAACGCCTCAAAGCAGACTTCCGCGTAGTTGGTGAACGCCTCCCTGCTCATAGCTCACATGAAGCAAACCGCAATGAAATCGGCAGCATCACATTAAAAAAGTTCTTACACTATTGAAGCATTCAGCCAGCCACCCCTGTTCACATGAAGATAATCTGGCAAGTCCCAGTGATACAGCGTCACTGCTGGCTCAATGCCTGCCAATGAATAATACGCCATCGGTTAGATGCAACAGGGAGAGGCTTCTCATACCACACACAAATTCAGACAAGTAGCAACAATTACCTGCTGCCTTCAGTGCCTCAATAACAGTTTTGTAGTGGTCAATACCTGCCGAGTTGACCTCACCAATGCCGTCTGCAGAGAGAATCAGATCAATCCTCTGCTGCAATCATTGGAACGGCAAGCATACATCAAAATTCCACCAGACCTGGCAAGATCCTCGACCACGAGAGTGATAGTCGGTAGGACGTGACGCCCAGTTCTTTCATAATCTTGATGTCCTCCTGAACGAGTATAACATCAGAACAGCAAGCTCGACAAGGATTATGACAATCGACGGGAAAAGAGAAGAAGCTCACCAAGAACTTGTGGTACTGGTCAGTGGTAATATTGGGTAATGAAGAATCCGCAATTTTTCCTGTTAAAGAGTAATGACGATGTTAATTTAAGGAGGCGCGCACTGCCATTGGGACAAGACGATAGGTAGTCATCGTACCAGGAACTGCGGCAAACACGTCCCAAATGCTGGGCCCTCGACCTCCCTCCAATGGTGCCCCTTCAACCTGAACGTCGAGTATGTGGAGTTATGAGCTTGACCTTGATGAAAGAGCCAGCTCCGCAAGCACTACCAACCTGAGTCGCACTTGTCGCCACCCCAAACACAAAGCCGTCTCCAAAGTCGCCTCTTTGCAGCACATTGTCATCATAAAAAGCCGTGCAGTTCTGAATTGCGAAAACAGAATCAGAAGAAGGACAAAGGAGCAGAAAATCTCAGTAGCATTGGAGAAAACCACTTACGGATAGGAGCGTGGAGCTGATAACCCAGTTACTATCGGTTTGGCCAGAAACCATAGCTGTACTGATCAGTAACATGAACGCTCCAACGACTGGGAAAGTCATTGCTGTCATTGTGAAGCTAATCGAAGCCACAGTCGTCCAGAGTCAAATCGAGCCTGAAAGCAGTTGTGAAAAATCTGCTTTGCGTGCTCGTATATGTACGAAGTGAGGAGGAGCGACCTGTTTCCGAAAGGTTATGTGGAAGAATCAAGGCCGAGCTTGAGCAAACCAACCACTGCATTTCGAGAAACTCGTACATCTCAAGGAAGGGAATACATTTAATAAATCATTACCATGAATTTCACAATTTGCACAATGCCTCGATGGCGCAGTCGGTAGCGCGTAGGTCTCATAGCATTCCGACTCCTAGCGAGCTGGGCGAAGCCATCCTAAGGTCGTGAGTTCGATCCTCACTCGGGGCACTGTTTTGACTAACTAGTGATTCTGACTGTACACGTTGGGTTTTGTTTTTGCTCCGACAGCGAAGCGAACCGCCAATTGTTGACAGGAATTGCAGGGCCGCGCGCGCGCGATTCGGGAATTCGACAGAGACATGACAGAGGGTGTAACTCCCCGTGCGAAATCAAGACGATGACTGTGGCGAACTTCGACTTGTCCGATCAATATCGCCGAGGAACAAACTGCGACAAAACAAAGCCCAAGGCTGGGCTGGGCACAGGGATCTTCAGCAATTTTCTTCAAGCCGCTGACGGATACTTCGAAGTGCATACCAAGTCAGGGAGAATGCTGTGGAACAACATGGGCATACCATTGTGCACTGACGATGGAGTAGGATAACCTTGCAGAGCTTAGAAGATCACGGGCCCCCGATTTAACTAGTAAAGAGTTCTCGTTAGCTTGTTTAATTAGTTGTCTCTCTTTTTTCCGTGTTGGAAGGGAAGCATGCAACCGGCAGGAAACAAAGGCCGTCGAGGCCAGAAGACATGTAATTTCCGTTCACCCCAACTGACTTCGCAGAATTCTCGTAGAAACAGCATCTACCTTCCCTCGTTTAGTGGTTCCCTCAAGTATGGCAGATTGTAGTCCCGTTGGTCGCAGGTTCTAACGGCATAGCTCGGAAATACCATAACACTCGCAGCATTATAATCTGAACGTTTCTCCCCTCCCGGCTTCCAGGGTCCTTCGCGGCTCATTCGTCAAGCGTGAATTGCATAAGCATCGGCAGGAAGTCAGCGGAGAGGTTTATAACGGGCGGCGACGATAAGAAGCTGCACCTATGGTCCACCCGCCAGCGCGCGCCGTTGCTGGTAGGATTCGCGATTCGAGATTTACTTGAAGCGTGTTGAAAGGTTAGAGCGGCATGCAAGACGAACATTTACGATGACATCCGTTTCTGCTACGTCGTCGCCAGAGCATGCTGCTAGCCGCGAGCGAGGAGATAATAGGAATTTTTTTACCCCATTTGTTTCCCGTATCTATCTCCCCCGTTCCGCAACTTGCTTCCCCTTCACTGCGTCTACCTCCCGTCTTCGCATCTTTCTCCCCTTCTCGCGCCGCCAGTCGCTGCGCGGCAACACGAGCGCCATTCAGAGCGTGCTGCTGGACGCCAGCGAGGAGCTCGCCGTGGCGGGCGGCGCTGCGGGCGCCGTGAAGCTATGGGACCTGGTCGAGGGGCGAGGTGAGGGGGGGAGAGGGAAGTATGGGGAGGGGCGTGGTGAGGGGGGAACGGGATGTGGTGGAGGCGCGAAGTGGGGAAGGGGGGTGGTACCAGGTGGAGGTGCGAGGTGAGTGGGGGGGCTGGGACCAGGTGGAGGCGCGAGGTGAGAGCGAGGATGTTGGGGCTGGTGGTGGGAGGGGTGAGGGGGGGGCTGAATGGTCGGATGTGAGGAGAATGCTGACGCGGAGCAGGAAATCGGGTAGCCATGGCGGGTAGAGAAACGGCTAGAACTGGTGGCTACAGTCGGGATGGCCGAAACGTGGGGTGAAAGGAGCGATGGCAACGACATCCTTCTCTCCCGTCTTGCAAAACCCGTGCATACGCCTTTCCCAGTCCTGCCGTCTACCTTCCATTCCCGCCATCCCCTTCCCCTCATCCCCTCCCCGCGCCTTCTCTTTGCCTCCCCAGTTCCCCTCATCGCCGCATCCTTCCCGCCATCTCCTTCCCCTCATCCCCTCCCCGCCCCTCCTCATTGCCTCCCTCTTTCCCCTCATCGCCGCCTCCCTCCCCCCATCCCCTCCCCGCGCCCCCCCAGCCATCCGCACGATGACGGGCCACAAGGCCGCGCCCGTCGCGCTCGACCTGTACTCCGCGGGCGGGCTGTGCGCGTCGCTCAGCCCCGCGGACGGCACCGCGCGCGTGTGGGACCCGCGCCAGAAGGAAGCCGCGCACGTCTTTCGCGGAATGGGCGCGGGGGACGCGGGAGAGGGCGGCGGAGCTGTGGGAGGGGGAGGGGCGGAGGGGAGGGGAGCGGGAGCAGGGGGCGGAGCGGAAAGTGTGGGGGGGAAGGGTGGGAAAACTGTCGGTTGCGTGCGGTTCAGTCCGGACGGGCGGTGGGTGGTGGCAGGCGGGCAAGATGGGCGCATCAAGGTGAGCAGCGCGCAGGGAGGGAGGGGGGAGGAAGATGGAAGAGAATGGGGAGGAAGACGGAAAGGAGGGGGTTTAGATGGATAAGCCCAACCCCTCGCAAGTCCCCACCACGTGTCTCCACTGTTTTCCGCCCTCCACTCTCACATCTGCTCCCCCTTCCCCTCCTTCCCTCCGCGCGCCTGTGCCTCCGCGCGCAGCTGTTCGACCTGGCGCAGGGGCGGCTGTTCGCGCAGCTGGCGGGGCATGCGGGCGCGGTGGCGGCGCTCGACTTCCACCCGCAGGAGCTGCTGCTCGCGTCCGCCGCGCGCGACCGCACCGTGCGCTGGTGGGACCTTGAGTCGTTTAACTGCGTTGACTGCACGCCGGCCGGCGCGGGTGGCACCGCCGCCCTCGCGTTTGCTCCGCAGGGGGATGCGCTCTTCGCGCCCTGCGTTGACCACCTTAAGGTGAGTGTACCGCGCAGCAAGGCGAGATTCGTCAGATCAACCGCTTTGTACCCCGATTTACTCCTTGGAATGATTTCTTTCTCTGCCTTGATGAGTTGTCAATCGTCTTGCCTTCCGTCCCCCCCCCCTCCCCTGCTGCTGCCCGGATTCAGGTGTGGGGCTGGGAGCCAATCAGGTGCTTCGACACTGTCCACGTGGGATGGCCAAAGGTCGCTGACGTCAGCGTGAATGACACCTCCCTGGTGGCTGTCTCCGCGTCCGTCACCGTCGTCACTCTCTGGACCGTTGATCTTGAGGTAATGTCTTCCCCTTCTCCCCCCCCCGACCGTTGATCATGAGATGCCATTCACCCTGCCCTGCTAGTTGTATGCTTCCCCCGCCCTCCCCGTTTCTTTCCCTCTCCCCTCACTACCAACCTCCTTCTCGCCTCTCCTCCCCTTGTCCACCTAATCTTCCCCTCTCCCATCCCCACTCCCCTTTCTCCCTCTCCCCACTCCTCTCTCCCTCCCTCCCAGCGAGTGTTGCCATTTTGCAAGGATCCCGAGCTGTGCTTCGACGAGCCGCTCCCCCTCCCCTCGCCCACCTCTTCATCCCCTCCCTCCCCCGTTTCCCCCTCTTCCCCCACCCCCTCTGCCCCCTCCCAGCGAGTGCTGCCATTCAGCAAGGATCCCGAGCTGTGCTTCGACGAGCCCCTCCCCCTCCCCTCGCCCCCCCCGCACCTCCACTCCCGCAGCCCGTTCTCCGCCCTCTCCCCCTTCGCCCCCTCCCCCTCCTCCTCCTCCCTCTTCCGCCCCTCCCCCGCCTCCCCCTCCGCCTCCCCCTCCCCCACCCTGTCACGCCGTAACAGCCTGAGGGGCAGTTTGGGGGGCGGGGGGGCGGGGGGGTTCGGGGGGTGGGGAAAGGTGGCGCCTGAGGGGGGTGACAGCGACGTGGAGGAGGGAAACTGCGAGCATCACAGTACGTGTGCACATTTACGTGTGTGGAGATCCCTGCAGGAATATGAGTGTTTCTCTCTGTCTCTGAGCCAAAGTCATGTTGCACCTGTTCTCTGTGTACTCCGTCAAGCCCCAAAGCACCTCCTCTCCATCCACCTTTCCCCTTTTCACCCATCTCTCTTCCCCCCCCCCCAGACCTCCACTTCTCACCCTCCCTCACCCCCCCCCTCTCCTCCCCCAATCCCCCGGCCAATCAGAGCCCGCCACGCTCCCCTCCTCGCGTGCGCGCTCCTCCTCCCTCCCGCGCTCCCTCGCGCGCCACCTTGCTCCCACCATCGCCTCTCTGCAGCGCGCCCGCTGCGCCCCCTCCCCCTCGCCCTCGCCCTCTACCTGTTGTGACGGGGAGAGGGAGAGGGAGCGCGCGAGGGAGAGGGAGCGAGAGAAGGAGTGGGATGACAGGGTGTCAGTGGGAACGCCAAGGAGGTATGTGAGGTCGCCGCAGAGGTCGAATGGAGGGGTGGGGAGGGGTGAGAGGGGCGACAGGGGGAGTGCTGCGCGGTGCAGCAGTGAAGGCGGGTGGTGGGGGGACAGGGAGGGCAAGGGGGGCCGAGGGGGCGTTGTGGCAGCGGTGGTGTTGGGTTGTGATGATTGTAACGGTGGTGGTGATAAGCGGGGGAACTATGGAGGGTATACCACGGGAGGAGACACAAGCACTGACGACGAGTGCACGAGTCATAGACTGGCACGTGGCAGCTCAGCATCGCATGGTGCTACCGCAGCAGTTGCTGCCACTGCTGCCTCGCGACGCAGCTCACACGTGCACTCCCTGGCGTCGCCTCGCCGCTCCCCTCCCTCCTCCTCCCCTTCCAACCCCACCGGTCACTCCCCTGCCCCTGCTGCCTCTGCTCGCACTGCTCCTTCGTCTTCTGCCACTCCCGTTACAGTCACACCAAGTGCACGAGTACCATCCGCTGCTGCACATCCTGCCTCCCCCGCACGTGGGCGGGCCAACGCTGCTGCTGCTGGTGCTCCCGCCTCTGCTGCTGCCGCCACACCAGCCACACCAGCAGCAGCAGTGGCAACACAGGCAGCGGCGGGGAGGGGTGGGCAGGGCGCGGTGTCAGGGCGGTCGCCCATAGTGGACCTCGTCTCCCGCGTGTCTGACTGGATCGGGTCGCTCTCCTCTCAGGAGCAGACGAGTGCAGGGGAGAGGAGGGCAGGGGGGAGCGGAGGGAGCGAGAGGAGGAAGGCAGAGAGGGGAGGGAGTGAGGGGAGGATGGGGGAGAGGTGGAGAGGCAAGGTAGAGGAGGAGGTCGCTGACGCTGGTGCTGGTGCTGGTGGTGGTGGTGGTGCTACTGGTAGTGCTGGTAATGGTGGCGGGAGCAGCTCCTTTGGCAGACTGGGGCAAACGGCTCGGAGAATGACCTTTGGGTCAGGTGGTAATGGAGGAGGCAATAACGGGGATGGAAATACTCATGCTGTTGCTGCTGCTGCTGCTGCTGCTGCTGCTGCTGCTGCTGCTGCTGCTACTGCTTCCAGGGGCAGTGGTAGCAGGCCTGGTAGCGGTGCTGCTGTGGCTCCTGCTTCTGCTGCTGCTGGGAGAGCCATCAACAACACGCCGACCAACGCCACCACTAATGCCAATGCCGATGCCAACGCCTGCACCCACACTACCAGCGGCGACCATCCATCCATCCCCCCCTACGCCGCCAGTCTCAGAGCCCCCTATGCAGCCGACACACAGCCAGACAACTCCCCTCCCCCCACCTGCTCCTCTGCTTCGGCTTCCCTCTCCGTGGGCAGCTGGGGCTTCCGAACCTCCAGCAAGGCTCGGGGGAAGAGGCAGGGGTCTCCAGTGCCGGCTCTCTCTGAGGGCAGGTCCGGCAGCATGCCGAGCCAGAGCTCGCTGGTTCGGAAGCTAGGTTTGTTTGTGCCGAGGCTGCGGCCGCCGTATGCTGTGGATGATGAGGAGGTGGAGGAAGGGGAGGAAGTGGAGCAGGGGGGTGGGGGGGAGATGGCGGGGATGGTCAGGAGCCAGAGCGAGAAGGTTCCAGGAAGCGGGCCTCTTGTGATCCGCCACGGGGGACTGGCTGACGTGGAGGTTTCAGCCAATCAGAAGGTAGCAGGGAGCGGAGGTGTAACAAGAAGGGTGAGTGGGGAGGAGGAAAGGAGGCGTGGGCAGGAGAAGGGGAAGGAGGGCGCCGTTGGAGCAGCAGAGACGGGGGGTGGCGCAGAGGGGGGTCCAGCAAAGGGGCTAGTGACGGGGGCAAGTGCTGAGTCTGGGATCATGAGCAGGGAAGGTAATGATTGGGGCCATGGTGCAGCAGCAGCCGCTGGTGGTGGTGTGGTGGGGAGAGTAGGGGAAGGGAGCATGGGGGGGTTGGAGACGAGGGCAGGTGCTGGGGCGGTGCCGAGGCAGGTGGGGGGAGGGGCAGGGGACCTCATTCCGTTCCTGCGAGAGGCTGAGAGGCAGGAGCAGCTGCAGCAGACGCAGCAGGCGCAGCAGCAGCGACACCACCCACAACAGCAGCAGCAGCAGCATGGAGGGGGGCAGTCGAGTGAGGAGGAGGCAGCGGTGATAGCAGCAGTGGGGGGAGGGCATGAGGCGGTGGTGAGACAGCTGGCGGCGCGCAGGCAGGCAGTGCGGCAGGTGGGGGAGATGTGGCGCGACGGGCTCATGGCTGATGTTCTTGCATTCCTGGCGGTCACTGCGGACGAAGGGGTGAGTGGGGGAGAAGATGAGAGGGGATGCTCAAATGAGTTCACGTGCTTGTCAGCTGACCTTGCACTCTTGTGTTGCGTTTGCAAACACAGTGCAGCGCAGCACTCACGATGCGAAGCCTTCCTTTTCACCTCCCTTCCTGCGAATGCCTGGGCTGATGCCCTTGCGTTCCTGGCGGTGACTGCGGACGAAGGGGTAAGTGGGGGGAGAGATGGGTGGAGGGAGGAGTGAGTGGGGGGAGGGGTGAGTGGGAATGCACGGGTGAGTTGATGTGCGTGGGTAGGCAGGCAGCGTGGTAGGTGGTGCGGATGTGGCATGAGGGGCTCGTGCCTCATGCTCTCGCGTTCCGGGCGGTTACTGCACCCCAAGGGGTGAGTGGGGGGAGGGAGTGAGTGTGGGGAAGGGAGAATGCGGGGAGGGGGTAATTGGGCGGAGGGGTGACGTGCTTATCACCTGACCTTACACTCGTGTGTTGCGTGTGCAAACACAGTGCGGTGCAGCACTTACCATGCGAAGCCTTCCTCCTCACCTCTCTTCCTGTGAATGCCAGGACACCTCCCTTAGTAACAACCAGGCGCTTTCCCACGCATCCCAAACCAGCACCTCCCACCCCCTAAGATATGGCCGAAAATAATTCAGCTCCATGCCCACCCTCCCTCCCCGTACCACCCCTTACCGACTTCGCTCCTCCCCGCTCCCCTTGCAGGTTCTGGTAGATGTGGTTTCAGCCATGAGCTCACAGGGCAGCAGCAGCATGGCAGCGTGCCCCCCCTCCCTCCCCTCCGCACCTCCACCAACTTCCCTCTCACCTTTCCCTATCCCCCCCACAGGTTCTGGTAGATGTGGTTTCAGCCATGAGCTCACAGGGCAGCAGCAGCATGGCAGGAGGTGGAGGGGCGGGTGGGGCCAGCAGCATGGGCGGCACGTGTGGGACAAGCGCTGCCGTGCAGTGCCTGGGAGTGGACGGCTGTGCCGCCCTGGTGCCCATTCTGGGCGGCTTGCTGGAGAGTACGCACTCCAGCCGCGTACACGCCGCCCTTCTGCTGCTGCGTGCACTGCTGCGCTGCTACAGTGACGGGATTTCTGCCGCCCGCTCTGCCGTCCACTCGCCAGGGGTGGACCTGCACATGGAAATGCGGTAAGGAGGGGTAACGAGAGGTGAAGGGGGATGAGGGGTGGTGAAGCGTGGTGAGGTGGGATGAGAGAAGCTGAGGAGGGGAAGGGGTTGGGTGACGGGAAAAAGAGAAGGTGCTTGGACCGGGGGGTGAGAGGGGAGGTGATGGTTGGAGTGGTTGCGAGGGTAAGTTGCTTGGAGTTGGGATAGACTTGGCTAGACCTCCGCAGACTTTCCCGTTCCCCTCTCCTCCCCAAACCTCTCTTCCCCATCCTCTGTTTGCACGCTGCAGTTCTCTTCCCCGTCTCTCTCTTAATCCGTTACCACTTCCTTCCATCCATCCCCCTCCCCTGCATCCAGGCTGCAGCGCTGTGCGGAGTGTGCTGAGGCCTTCCGCGCCCTCACTCCCCGCCTGCAAACACTGCTGCACATGTAAGGCCCCATGTCCCCATCGCCCCCACGCCCCTATGGTGTTCCTTTCCCCCCATGCACCCAATGCACATCCCATGCACACCCCGTCACAACCCGTGCACACCCCTGCCAGCATTCATCCCCTCCATTTCACATCCATGCTACTCACCTCTTCTGCGTTGGCCTAAACCTCATGCTTGTTGCGCTCTTCAGCCACACCCCCTCTAGAAAACACACTTGCTCCAAGTCTCGTGCCTGTTGACCCTGCCAGGCATGCTATCATTCTCAGGCCTCGTGTCTGTGCGACCTCCTCTCCCCACGCTCTCTTCCCTGTCCATCCTCGTTCCCATGTGTGCAGCGGCCCCAAGGAGAATCGCTCGCTTGCCACCCAAGTGCACATGCTCACATCCCGCCTCACCTCTTGACTCACTCTCACAGGCCCACACTCACAGCCCCTCTCCCCTACTTAAATCTCGCCTTGCACCACCCACCTCCCTCTGTATTGACAACCTCTCCCTCACCACCTGCCTCCCTTTCAACTCTCACCTCACCTCCCGCCTCTCGCACGTCTTCCCGGCCTTCGTTCCCTGCCAGCCACTGGCGCAGCCCCGCACACCCGTCCCTTCGGGCAACACTAACACCTGCCGGCCACACACCCCTTCGAGAGGGGCCTCATTGATTGATGCATGACAACGAGGCTCACCAGGCCAGCTCGTGTGTTAACATGCTCACACCCCTCAACCCAGCACATCCTTTGCACAAACAGTTGCCAACCATGCACCCGTGTCTGCTGAGTGTGCGCATGACAGCGGGGCTCACCAGACAGATGCCTGCCTGAGGACGCGTGTTTCGGTTTGGCAGTAGGTAC